TGTGGACAAGGTTATCCAAGAGTTCGAGATACTGGGGCCTGCCTCGAGGCTAGGCGATGTGGGACTGGTTGACCGTTTCGAGCAGGCCATCAACTCCCGCCTCCGGGAGAGCATATACCGGCTCCGCCCCATGCCCACTACTTGGGCAGAGTGGAAACGCGAGGCCACCCTCCTAGACAACCAGTGGCGACGCTTCCAAGCCACCCAACTGCGTGCGTTTCCACCCAAACCCCCGCTCCCGTCAACCCGACCCCTGTTGACCGCGACCCCACCTCACGCACGACCCACACCCACGCCCCCTCAACTCGCACCCGCTCCTCCACCTCCTACCCCAGGAGCCTGCCCCACAACGGGAGCGGGCCCACAGCCAATGGATCTCGACCGCTCGAGAACTGACCAGAGGCGGTGCTACAACTGTAACACCCCAGGGCACATCCAACGAGACTGCCCACACCCCAAGGTCCACCGGGCACGATGCCTCCACCCTGAAGACCTTCGGGCGCTGATGGAAGGGCTGAAAAGGCAGTTGACTGAAGGACCAGAGGCAGAGGAAGCAGAGCCGGAAACAGAGACTCAGGGGGATTTTCAGGAAGGCGACCGGTGAGGGATGCATCCCGGCCGCCCATAGAGGATAGCTCGTGTAAATACCACAGCGTGCGTAAGTCAGCGCCAATGCCAAAACTTCACCGAGTTATTGCAAAGAAAAAGAGGAAAACCGCATCCTCAACCCGTGAGAGTAGAAGGACCGCAGAGGGAATGCCCGAAGTGGCAGTATCCCCGCCTGCTATCTACGTTCTCTCCAAGCAATCCCCCTGGTCGCTTAACCTCACGGTCAAACTGACCACCCTAACCTCACTCGCGTCCGTGTCTGTATTGGCCCTCCTGGACTCAGGAGCCACCGGGAACTTCGTGAGCCCCAAATTCGTCCGGAAGCACAAGCTTGAGACAACCCCACTCCTGCAACCTATCCCCGTCCGTAACGTCGACGGGACCCCGAACGAGAATGGAGCCATAACTGAGGAGCTGGAAGCCCTCCTGACGTTCAGGCGGCACACAGAGCGAGCCCGCTTCGTGGTCGCAAACCTCGGGCGGCAATCCCTCATCATTGGTCACTCATGGCTGCTACACCACAACCCAGAGGTGGACTGGGCATGGCAGAAGGTCGTCATGTCTCACTGCCCGTCCTCCTGCAGACAGCCACAAGCACAAGAGGACCAAGACCCTGCCCTAGAGCCTGGGGACGGGATCTATGCTGCAATCATCCCCCCAGGCTGGGGACACGACCTAAGAGCCACCACGACCCCCTCTCAGCGGATGGCCCAGGAGGCCCGCAACCCGGGTGCAGAACCCGCGTCGTTTGAGACGCTAGTGCCAGAGCACTACCAAGACTTCCGGGACGTGTTCTCGAAGGAAGCTTTCGACCAGCTCCCCCCCGGAAGCCCTGGGACCACGCCATAGACCTGGTACCAGACGCCAAGCTGCCCAGGGGAAAGACCTTCCCCCTCTCGCAGCCGGAACAGAAAGAGCTGGACGAGTTCCTGTGCGAGAACTTGCAGAACGGGCGCATACAACCGTCCAAGTCCCCAATGGGGGCACCAGTCTTCTTTGTCAAAAAGTAAGATGGGTCACTACGCCTAGTACAGGACTACCGGAAGCTGAACGAGATTACCATAAAAAACTCGTACCCACTCCCGCTGATCTCAGACGTCCTCGCCTGCCTCCGGAGTGCTAAGTACTTCTCTGCCCTGGACCTACGCTGGGGGTTCAACAACGTCCGGATCAAGGATGGGGACGAGTGGAAGGCAGCGTTCGCAACCAACCGAGGGTTGTTCGAGCCCATGGTAATGTTCTTCGGGCTGTGTAACTCCCCCGCAACCTTCCAAACGATGATGAACGATATCCTCAGGGACTTCATCGACCGGGAGGTCGTCATTTGCTACATGGACGATATCCTCATCTTCACGGCTACCCTAGAGGAGCACCGGAAGGTCGTCCGGGAGGTCCTGGAAACGCTACGGAAGAGGAGGCTGTTCCTGAAGCCGGAGAAGTGCAAATTTGAACGGACCCGGATCGACTACCTCGGCCTCGTCATCTCAGAGGGTAGCGTTGCGATGGACCCTGTAAAGATCCGTGGAGTCCTTGACTGGCCCACCCCAACCAAGGTGAAGGAGGTGCAGTCCTTCCTGGGGTTCGTAAATTTCTACCGCCGGTTCATCAAGGACTTCTCTGAAAAGGCACGCCCACTCCACAAGCTGACCCGGAAGACCCAGGCTTGGAACTGGGGCACGGACGAAGACAATGCCTTCCGAGCCCTTAAGGAAGCTGTCACCACTGCCCCAGTCCTCTCCTTCCCCACTGACTCGGGCTGCTTCAGGCTCGAGTGTGACGCCTCCAACTTCGCAACCGGTGCAGTCCTCTCCCAGCTCCAACCCAATGGGGAGTTCCACCCGGTGGCGTTCATGTCCAAAAGCTTCACGGACGTGGAGCGTAACTACGAGGTGTACGACAAGGAGATGCTCGCGATTGTCCGGGCTCTTGAGGAGTGGCGACACTTCCTAGAAGATGCGGAGGAGAAAGTCGAGGTCTATACCGACCACCATAACCTGGGATACTTCCGGACGGCCCAGAGGCTGAATCGACGCCAGGCTAGGTGGTCCCTCTTCCTCTCTCGCTTCCACTTTACCCTTGTCCACCGTCCCGGGAAGCTCATGGGAAAACCGGATGCACTCTCCCGTCGTGCTGACCACCTGAAAGGGAAGGATGACAACGAAGGGCTAACCCTCCTCCAACCAGCCTGGTTTGAGGCAACGGACCCTGGAAGCATTCTCAGTCGGATGTCAACCAAACAATCTTGGGCTACTGGGGAACTTGAGACAGCCCACAAAGACAGTGGAGCTTGGCTATGTCACAACATCCAGGGAATCAGCATCAGATGAAGAGCAACAGCATAGCCCAAAGAAGCGCAACAAGTCCAGCCAGGGGAAGAAGGCGTTGAAGTGGGCCCGAACTAGCAGTGCAGCAAAGGGCTCAGTGCCCATGTCCAGGCCTGAAATTGAGTTGGTCAGAACAGATGGGGATGATGAGGCTGCACCTGGGGCTCTTGAGGACCAGGAGAAATTTGCATCTGAAGATGCACATGTTGCGCAAGCAATCCAGCTGGCCCAGAAAGCACGGCAGACACAAGACCTCAAAACCGTGTTTACTGAGGTTGTTCATGAGGGACAAGACAGTTACCGGATATGCCGGGTGTGCCAGTGAGTCCCAAAATGTCTATAATTCCAAACTAGGGATCAATATACATGCAATAGATCTGCTTACGACAAAGGGGGCCAGTCAAAACTATTGACACCACGTTTCTCAGCCAGTTCTGCTTCAAGCACACTCCACAAACATATTAGTCGTTGTGGGGGGGAACACTGGGAACTCTATCTGAAACAGTGCAACACTCTTGGAATCCCACCTGATGAGAGAGCAATACCTGATGTGGTACAGCAGGAGCAAAGGAGCGCTTTCATCACAAATGAGTGAGTGTGTGTTCAGTTGAATTCTAATTCATTTCGGGTCCAACCTACTATGTATCCTAGGAACAGGCAAAGACGAATCACCCACTTCTATCGCCCAGCTGGGGATGAGGTCTCATGGTCTGTGGAAGCCTAGTGCAACAAATTGAAGATTTGATCATTGAGCATGACCTTGTGTGTATATTTTGAGTATTCTTGATCAACATTGATTATTTAAGACATATGCTATTCAGGGCTTTGATTTAGTCGACTCAGACTCATTTCGTGATCTGATGAAGTTTCAAGCTTGTACCGGCATTGATGGGTCACCATGCTACAAGGACAAAGACCTTCCTCACCGAACGAAAATGACCCAGCTTGTTATCACATGGTCAAAGGTGGTCACAAAGAATCAACTCAAGGTACACCCCATTGGGTCTTTTGTCTTAAAAGTTATATATTGTTCAGTAATAGGAAGCCCCCAGCCTTATCCACTTTGCATTTGATGCATGGACCTCCGTGACTATGCAAGGCTTCCTTGGTGTGACATGTCATTTCTTGGATAATGAATGGAATGTTCACTCAGAGCTGATGTCCTTCCGTGAGCTTGATGAACCTCACATGAGTGAAAACATCGCAAAAGTTTTATTGGCAGAGATTACCAAAATGATACCAACAATAAAGGCAAGTGCCCAATCGACCCATTCCCTACTGATGACTCAATCTGATTAGATTGGGTACAGTCATTTGCTTCCGAAATGCACACTTTTCATGCTTAGCACCTAGATAGAATTTCGTATATATATAAAAATAATAAAAATTATTAAGGGAAAGACCATCATCTCATCTCCGTGCAGGCAAATTTTGGGAAGAAAATATGGAGTTTCCATGGCGTTATAATGAATCTTCCAAGGGGGATGATTTTGAGGCATGACCTCTGAAGTGCACAGGTGTGGAAAAGGCCATTGCCCAAGTTGCTGATGCGTGCTATCATTGCTAATTATTGATCAGGCATATGGAACCACTGTAGACGCTGAATTGGGCCCCACATCTTGTTATTGTACTTCCATGACCCGCTTTCTGTTTTTATATGCTGCACTATGGCTGCTGTGACTTTATGCTGCATGTAGTGCCCATTTCAGATCAAATATGCTCAACAAAGTATTTATCCACTCCCATTGGCACTTGTTCTCCTGTCCTTCTTCAACAATGCCACAAGTGAGGCTCAAGTACACTGTAGCACGGATCAATTGAATTGCTAATTTGCTAAAAATGCATATTTCAGTGTTTCCTGAAATAACCATGAAGCCAATGTAGTTAATATTCGGCATCTGTGAAGGCATTATCTAGTGGAATGTTATGCAAAAAAAATGGAGTGAAACGGCCCAGTTGTCGTTGAGAAATTGCCAGTGTGTACATCAGAGGTGTGTGCATTTCGGAGGCAAATGACTGTATATTGCTTCTGACAATGCATCTACAAACGATGCAGCAATGTGTGTGATGAGCGAGATTCTCAGCGAGGAACACAACACCCGATGGGATGCATCCCATTATCGTGTCAGGTATGTGACATTTTGCAGCCTACCAGGTTTTTTAGCTTACATCACACATCACTCAGATGCATGGGCCACATCGTGAACTTGGCACAACAAGCATTCATTTGTGCTCTTATCAGCAACACTGACAATCTTGTGGAACCTCATGAGAGTGATACCATGAATGACAATGAGATCAACCTTACTGGCCTTGAGATCCCCCTGGTGGAAGGTGCTATAGTTGGGCCATTGCTGACTCGTGTTCGTGCTCTAATTTTTCATGTGAGTTATTCCTTGGCTACAGTGACAACATCTCAATCTAACATTGGACAATGGCAGATCCTGTCATATCCATCCCCAGCCATTGACTTCCGGTCCCTCTGTTCCCTCCGGTCTAACTCCGCTCCTTCTTCACTAACCTCAGAGCTCCCGTATTCCGCAATCCTCTTGGTACCCCTCGATGGTCACCACCCCCTCATTTCAATTTATTACCTACGCCTCCCTAAGTACGGAGCCCCAAAGACTTCCGGACAGCTCTGACGTCCGCTAGCGCACCCCCACCTCCGCTGGGCAATACAATCGCCTGCCCTGCAGAGCCCACCTTCGGGCCTATCCCTCCTTTCCATTTCTGGGTTATCGCCTGCCTTTCCGCTAACCCTGCGACCTGACTCATCGGTAATATTCAGTTGGCTAATGCTTAACCCCATTAGCTCCGCTCTGTTCGGCTCCGCCAATTGCGGACCCATCTTCGCTGTAACCATATATATATCCCGCTTGTACATAGGTTACACTCCAGTAATAAGATCAACTAGAGTTAGGGCACGGACGTGTCACTAGGCACAGCGCTCTTGGCAGAAGTTGCTGAGGCCAAAGCCCTCCGCTACAGAGACACTCTTTCGTCTTGAATCTGGTCTCTGACAGATCCGCAGGTCCCCTGGTGCAAAGCTCTATTTAAAGGAATGCTGCATGAAAGTATCTATTAAGACACTGGAACTCTTGATGTATGGAAACACGTGCTGGGGGTCATGGCTAATGCTTCTGGACCGATTTACTGAATTGTGACCAGTATGAGAACACTAGCATTGTTAAGTATTCCACATATCTTACTTTTTTGACAATAGGCTATTACCCATTTCCTTGAACATGCAGATCACAAAGATTCTGTACCAAGAGCAAAAGGCTGTACACCCAAATACGGTGCATGGGTGTTTAGCGATAGTGACTGGAATAATATGGAAACAATCATAGATGCACTGAAGGTGTGTTTTCTCACTCATATTATCTTCTATCCAGTATATTGTAACTGCCTTCACACATTAGGTTGCTGCTCATGTGCAGCAGTCATTCTCTGGGACATCAAAAGTTTCAAGTGCACTGCGCTTGCTCTCAGTGTATGTATGAGGGTGTCATATCCGTGCATACCCGACCCCGACCCGACTTCCGGACTTTGACTCCACCGGCCTCCGGACCCTTCCAGACCTCCCTTCTCCTCCATCTCTCGTTGGTTGAACACTCTCCCCAATCTCTTTGAGTTGATTGACAAAAGCTTGCTAACACCTGGCAGCCTTCATCTCACTCCTGTGTTCTCCCACTCCCTCTGTCGCTATTGTAGTCAGAACATTCAGTGTCAGGGCACACCCGCCTGACCCGGTCCCACCCGGGCCCACCTCACCCGCTCACCCGCTCCCCACTACCCATCCTTCCTCCCTTTCCTCCCCCTCCCCTCTTTTCTCTTCCTCCTTTATTTCACTCTCCCTTTCTGTTTATTCTTTCTATTTACACGGACCACCTTTCTGTTTATTCTTTCTGTTTACATGGACCACCCTCCTTGTATCATTGTACTATTGACCCGTCCGGCTCGGACACCCCGGACAACTTCCCACTACGCAGCGGACGCCCTCGGGATCCCCTGCGGGGATACCCGGATGGCTGCGGCTCTCCCCACAGATGACATGGCACTCGTCATGTGACCCAAGCCGCATGTACATAAATGTACCTGAAGTGGGAACTGAAGAAGTAACCTTCTTCTCACGTTTTCCACTTCAGGTAAGTAGTGTAGTTCTTCCTTTTAATAACAATTCACGTTTTCCACTTCAGTCTAAGTGGCCAGGGACTATAGTCCCAGATCGGGCCCGTCAGTACGCGTGCCCGCTTTGTCCCCCGAGAGGGTCCCTCCGCCGGGCGCTACAGCCGGGCCCCCTCCACCCCGGACGCGTCCCTGACATTCAGCCCCCAATTCTAAGGCCTTCAAGGGTTCAGGCCTAAGAAGGGGATACTGTCATATCCATACAATCCCGACCTCCGCTCCGGGCTCCTGGAACTCCGAACTCCGACTTCCGGAGCCCTACTTCCCTTCCATCACTTTCTCCTTGCCAACTCCCAAGAGGTTATCCCACCTCCGGCTCGGACACCACCTTCGGTCCGACTCGGGAACATTCCGGGTCCGACCCCAACCTCGACACCTTCCAGACAAGTACGCAAAACCTATGCTCCCGACTCCGGACCTCCGCTCCGGTATCCCGTTCACGTCTCGTCTCCGGAACCTCCGGTCTTAGTTCCGACCTCGGACTTTGACCCCACCTCCGCTTATACCCATTGTATTGGTTAGCTCATTCCATTTAATTACCTTTGCCAATATTCCGGAGTTTAACCTCCGAGTTCGGACTTTCCGGACTTACTCCGGACCTTGCAACTATTGCATTGTCCATTTCAATTCCGCTATTCTCCCTCATTCCTATTTGGGCTGCTGCTTCCTTTCTATTCAGTCAGCTAGCCATTCCCGACTCCCATCCTCCTTCCTTCCTTCTGGGGCCTTGGCCCTTCATTCCTCCTTTGGGAAACACCATTGAGTCAAACACTTGACCCTCGGTGTTGTTCCCCTTTCCATCTCCCTTTGTCTCCTTTTGTCCTACCCTTGTTCCTTTTGATTCCGGACCCCTCCTTATATACAATGTACCCAGTAACTTGTAACCTCAGTCCGAAATCGACTGGAATTCCCCCCCAAGAGACTTTCCCTCTGCTAGATCCGAAATTAGGGACCCCCAGGACAACCAGCAATGGCACAGCGCTCCGCCTGAGTCGCTGAGGCCAAGGTCCTCCCATGCTAAGTCTCCGATTCCATTCCGGAGTCGTCCAAATCCCCGCATTCTAACAGAGGGGCTCATTACAAGTTGGGAGGGAATGAGAAAAGGGCGTAAGTACACTCATATTTACAATGCTCTCAATGCCGGTATTGCTCTTTTGGGGAAGTACTATGATGAAACAGATGTGTCACCTCTCGCTGTTCTCAGCACAGGTATGTTGCACAATATGGTCATAGGATAATGTCATTCACTCATTATGTACACTCCACTCCAGTTATCGACCCAATGACAAAGGATTCATACATCAACCATTACTTTGCACCTCAATATTGAGCCACTGCAATGCAGAGCGTGCACAACATTGTGAGTCGCACCATTCATCCAGAGTATTGATTGTCACAGACTATTACCAGTTTCTTGAGTATCATTCCATATATGCAACCTGGTCTGCTGCCTTCAATACAGCTGGAAAAAACCAGGGCAAGGGTGTATATGCACTGCCAGTTGCCACTTCAGCTGATGAAGTTTCTGGTCTCTCTCGCCGTCTTGCAGCCAGCCAAGCTTGATGGGCTCAGGAAGTATCAAGTGATGATCCTTGTGGGGAACTTGAATGCTATCTCAACGACCCACTTGAACTGCCTGGAACAGACATCCTCGACTTTTGGATGGTAAGCGGCACCAGTATTTTGTCTCAACTACGCTTTAAGTTCGAACTTATCTATATTAATTTTCAGAAAAAAGGCGCTACATATCCTGTCTTAACCTCCATCGCCCGAAATCTGCTCTCAGTCCCAGCATCCTCTATTCCATGTGAAAGGGCATTTTCTGCCGCTAAACACACTGACACTGACAGTCGGAACTGTCTCACTCCTGAGCATCTCAGGGCTATTCAAATCGCAAAGGCCGATATGCAGCATAACTACTTCAAGGAGAGGGAGGCAAGGAAGGCATTAGATGCAGCAAAGGTCTGAGAGTGGCAGGGTTATGAGGCAAATCTCATGATGGAACGCACAGAGCGGGTGGGCCTCATTATGGACACTTAGAATGTTCCGCCAAAAATATAATATTTCATTGAAATTATCACATTTAACAAAGTTGGTTCGAACCATTCCAGAACTGAACCGAACTGCAAGAGAACCAAATAATGGTTCAGTTCGGTTCACATACTGGTTCGGTTCTGGTTCGGCATTATCATCAAATTTCAAGCCAGTTCCGGTTCCGGTTCTCAAAAAATCGCTCCAGAACCGAACCTGTCATATCCATACAATCCTGACCTCCACTCCGGGCTCCCAGAACTCCGAAACTGACTCCGGAGCCCTACTTCCCTTCCGTCACTTCTCCTTGCCGACTCCCAAGAGGTTATCCCACCTCCGGCTCCGACACCACCTTTGGTCCGACTCTGGAACATCCTGGGTCCGACCTCAACCTCGACACCTTCCAGACAAGCATGCAACACCTATGCTCCTGACTCCGGACCTCCACTCCGGAATCCCATTCACGTCTCTGTCTCTGGAACCTCCGGTCTTAGCTCCAACCTTGGACTTTGACCCCACCTCCGCTTATACCCATTGTATTGGTTAGCTCATTCCATTTAATTATGTTTGCCAATATTCCGGAGTTTAACTTCCGAGTTTGGACTTTCCGGACTTACCTCGGACCTTGCAACTATTGCATTGTCCTATTCAATTCCGCTATTCTCCCTCATTCCTATTTGGGCTGCTGCTTCCTTTCTATTCAGTCAGCTGGCCATTCCCCACTCCTATCCTCCTTCCTTCCTCCTTGGGCCTTGGCCCTTCACTCCTCCTTTGGGAAACACCATTGAGTCAAACACTTGACCCTCGGTGTTGTTCCTCCTTCCAGCTCCCTTTGTCTGCTTTCGGAGTACCCTTGCTCCTTTTGATTCTGGACCCCTCCTTATATACAATGTACATAGTAACTTGTAACCTCAGTCTGAAATCAACTTGATTTCCCCCCAAGAGACTTCCCCTCTGCCAGATCTGAAATTAGGGACCCCTAGGACAACCAGCAATGGCACAGCGCTCCGCATGAGTTGCTGAGGCCAAGGTTCTTCCATGCTAAGTCTCTGATTCCACTCCGGAGTCATCCGAATCCACCCAATCTAACAGAACAGAACAGAACCGTGGCACCCCTAGTCCAGATCAATTCGTGTGAAGAGCAAGCCGATGATGTGGAGGAAGAGTGCTGTAGTGGGTGAAGTAGGAGATGATAGGTTTTGTTGTATCAAAGGCAAGAAGAACTCGAGCATGGCGTCACAGCCTGTATCAAATGGATTGTTAGCAATCAAGCTGAAACCCCGTTTTGTCAATCCTTGTATCCTTGAACAAAACACAACAGAACCCACCTATTATGGTGCGACTCAGTGAGTCTAGATGGTACATCGGTGGCAATACTCGAGCATGAAGTGGTTGGGAAGAGGATAAATGAAAAAAATGTCAAATGTTAGAATGTTAATAAGTGTGAAATAAAAAACAAAAGGCAGTAATAAGCAGCATGCAATCATGACATGGCAGACATCAGATCTGGTGGTAAAGTGTGTATGGAGATTGTCATTTTTCGAGAGCATTCTTCGGCCATGTCCTTCCTGGGCATGCTCCATGGAGATCTATAGCTTTGACATAATTGTGGATCGTAGGGGCCATGCCAGTGAATAGGGGCGTTGAAGTAATAGCCTTCGCCCATTTGGAACTACCAAGCTCAGATTGCTTGGTCAGGATATCAGCCATGTGTACAAGATCCTTAATGAATTCGGAAATTTTTTCTTTCTGGCTGATCATCTGATAATGTACGTCAGGTATCAGAGAAATCGCAGAGCAATAGGTTGGTTCTTACATCTTCGTCGTCTGATCCACAACTGACATCCAAGCCAGTTGGAGAAGGTGAGTCCATGTTGATTATTTGAAGCTACACCTAGATTAACATACTCAACCGGTCACGCATCATGCAGGCCTGCCGGTCCGGCCCAAAACACAGCCACATCACGTGTCACACTGGGCAGGTGGTCAAGCAATCCATGTCACGCAGTTGGGCTGCCTTCTCGGTGGCTATGCAAATTGATTTCAAATTTCCTTTTTTGTAAATTAAATACATTCAAAAGTGAAAAATCTTCATTTCTTCATCCAAATTGCATGCCTGTCTAGCTTGCATTCCCCAGCCAAGATCCCGGCTCTGAAGGCTAGAGGAAGGTGAAGCCTCATCAAGAGTATCAGGCTCGGCTTCCTCAGCACAGGTTGGTAGTGCATGCAAGCTGCTGTTCACCACCTCAAGCCCATCAGGTACCCAATTCCCTGCCATATAGTTGAAAACTTCATCCACCGTCACATCAGGCCTGTCCTCTGCAGAATTTGTAAATTCCATCCTGGGAATGTGTAAGGGATTAACCTTACTTCTGATTATAGTGATGCTATTATTTCTTTATTTATTTGTGCCAAGATATGTAAATTAGATATATATACCTCGGAGTAGTTGTAAAGGTCCGGTAGCCTTTTACCTCTACCCCATTGAATATACAGCTCATCAAAGCTTATGTTTAGACAGACCTACTGAGGCCTGAGGTGAACGGGGGAATGGAACGTTACTGTCCCCAAAATAGTAAGATAACCTTTCAGAATGGTGGAATTAGAGCCATGAGTGTTGCTATCATGAGGCTGCTTTTGTGGGGCTGTTATAGCATTTGCAAGGTTGGGATTCTCCCAGTGGAGATTATCAAGGAGTTGGCATAGTTTACGGCTGGTTAAACTGGTGCAGGATGGATTGTATTCGCCTGACTGACAAAGTTCAAATGCCTAGATCGAGGTAGTTAGTACTGTGTACACGGAAATGGGGGATTGTTCTCATCAACTCACTTTCTCGATTCTATCCTTCCGATTCATACATTGGAAAGCATAGATCAATGTCTCAGGGACACGGTCCCTTAGTATGCCAAGCTTGGTGTTGAGCATGATATCGCATGAGCCAACCCCCTGCTGTAACTGTGAGTACACCTCCTCTATAGCAGCAGACTGCTGTGCTCACTTCACAGCATGCTTCAGAGGATGTTGTACACCAACATCACAAGGCTGTCAAAGACCCATGCAACCACCTGGAATATAGTCCAGTATTATCCAGGGATGGTTCTCGTGCATCCAAATGTGGAACTCCAGAGATGCATGTACTGGCCACACATCAAGTTGCCAGATGCACTCCTGATGTGGATCAAGACCTAGCCGTTGTTTTTGAGTTTGGAAATATGGAACTAGAATAGATTTTACAAATGTTTTCTTGTCTTGATGTTAGCCCAGTAAGTATAACCGCCGGAGATTGTCATATCCATACCAACTCTGCCTCACCTCCGCTCTACTCCACCACAGCTCCGGTCCACCTCCGGTCCGTCCTCCCCCGCACCTCTGCCATACCCTCTGGTTCACCTCCACCTGTGATCTCCAGTACCTTCTCCAGACCTCTTATCCTCATCTTAAATGTTTATTAATATTTCTACCTACCCAATATTACTACGGACCTCCTAGGACCTCTGCCACCCCTGCAAAGGTTTTCCCACTTCCAGTAGCTGTCGCTAATTCCACCCTTCACCTACCCACTCCACAATGCTCAATAAGGCGATTCTCTCACGTGCTCACCAACCCGGAAAGTGGGTAAGTCTCTCTTGGGTTTTCCCCTTTGTTCTCATTTGTCTTCTATTATGTATATAAGTCCTGTACTGTAGTTGATGGCACCTCAGTGCAAAATCGACAAGACTATCCCCCAGAGTTCGCACCCCTCGTTCTGAAGTTAAGGACCAAACTCTTAAGCGTTACTGAATGTAGGCACAGCGCTTCTCTCTGAGTTGCTGAGGCCATGGTCCTTCCACCTGTTCTCCACCTCTGGCCTCCTGTCAGGGCACGGACGGTTATCCGGCCGGCCCGGACCCCTATCCGGATAGGTTGAGTACCCGTAAGCCAATATCTGCATGTGATTTGCCGTAGTTAGAACGCAGGCTGTATTCAATGCGCTATTTCCACTATCGTGTCATCCCTCACCCGTTATCGCCCCCTTATCCGCATGATCTATTCTCCTATTTCATGTCGCTTCTCTATCGGCTACCATGTGTTCCCAATGTAGCCGCGCTCTTATGAGTTGTGGAACTCATGTATATAAGGCCTTATCACCAGCTGGGTTGGCCCCCCAGCTTTTACAACGACTAGTTTCCTGGGGAGATTCTTACACGCGAACTGACGTGCGGACTCTGACACCTCCTTCTGGGGAAAGGTCCAGGGACACTGCCCCTCCTTGCCATGTCTTTGACAGAGATGTCAAAAATAAAGCCAAGTTCCATGGCTTCATCATAGCACAGTGCATTTTTTGAGGGGAGACTGACTGAAGTTTTGCCTCAGAAAATCGCCTGGAATGGTAAAAGGGTTCCACTTGCAGAGATGGCCACATTGAGAGTGAAGGCACGCTTCTCATCATGACCAACTGTGGAAACCTGACGAGACCCCTTTGTTTCATATGTAGAAGTTGAGTTCTGCTGGTAGATTACTTGTGTCTGGTCTGAGTTCACCCAGAGCTCACAAGGGATCATATAGTGGCAGACGGAGTAAGCTTGGTGGAGTAATGAGGCATGGATTTTCTCTGTGGCATCAGAGGGAATCTTCTGCAATGCATGTGTCGCTTGATGCAGGCTCCAATTCATCTCTTGTTCAAGAAACTTCCTAACCCACGCCATGCTCACAGCAAAAATGCACCCATCCTTCTTCACAACAGTTCTTAGGATCTCGGGCTGAGTATATTGGATTTGTGCGATGATGACACCATGGATTTGCTGAGCGTCCAGTGCAGCACTGGCCTGTTGAATGCTTTGCAATGTTTGCTTGATTGCTGCAACCGTTTCAGGATATGATGCCTAAGATGGCTCAGATAAGTTCACAAAGTTCTACTAGCAGTTCACAACTTACTAATATCCCCTTCTGTGTAATATTGCCACCTGGGCAGTTCTCTTTTTCAACCTTTGCCAGTGTTTCAGTGGACCAGCATGGATGTGATCCAGTGCAGTTGATCCATTTTCCAACAACATCAGCACACAGTGATTGAAAAAGCCTTATGCTTCTTGTTTGACATCCCCTCGCTATCTCAGTTGGACTCATCTGCCAGCCAATATTTTCTGTGACTTGAGTTATTATTGTCCAGAAGATCAGCTGGAACCAGTTTGTTGCCTTAGCCAATTCGTGCACCCTTTGTGCAGGAGGCCCAACCACATTTGTAGAATTATGGATGGTTTTCTGGTGCTTGTGCTCCTGCAGCCATTCCTGAATTCGGCGCTTGGGCTGTGACATCTCTCAGCAACAGGAATTGAGATCGCATTCTGGTTGTCAGGTGTGCACTAAACAATTTCTCCTTGTTAGAAACAGTGGTGATCTCAGCGAACTGACATTCTTCACCTTCTCCCTACTTGCCACCACCTCTGCTTTGCTTGCTGCCACCTCCACTTTGCTTGCCACCACCTTCGCTCGGTGTCGCTGCTGTCATTCACGAGCCAATGTCTGACTCCTCTCCTCCCTCTTTTCCACTGCACATGACCTTTGCACCCATGCTTCTTCAGATCTTTCAGCAATTCTCTTGAGTTCAACCAATGATTGCCCCTCATATTCCTCACGACTTGCATGGCTGAAAAACTGCAGCTATTAGATTGGGCAGATTCGGACGACTCTGGAGTGGAATCGGAGACTTAGCATGGAAGGACCTCAGCCTCAGCAACTCAGGCGGAGCACTGTGCCATTGCTGGTTGTCCTAGGGGTCCTGTCAGGGCACACACCCTGACTAGCCCGGACCCGGACCCGCATCCAGACCCACTTCCACCCGCTGTGCTTCCTGCATGCATGCACGCTCCACGCACCACATGCTCCAGGCCTGGTCCCTACCCCTTCATGTGACTTCTGGGTATCCCTGGAAGTTTTGCTGATATTGTGGCCACTGTGGGAAGATGAGCAGTTAGCTTCCTTCTCATCTCCTTACCCACAGTAGGATTGTGCCCTGGATAGGGCTGGCCAGACCAGAGACTGTGGACCATAGGGGAGGGTCATGGGGACCCGGGAGTCGTCCCCTGACAGGCCCCTAATTTCGGATCTAGCAGAGGGAAAGTCTCTTGGGGGGAAATCAAGTCAATTCTGGACTGAGGTTACAAGTTACTATGTACATTGTATATAAGGAGGGGTCTGGAATCAAAAGGAGCAAGGGTACTCCAAAAGGAGACAAAGGGAGGAAAAGAGGAGCAACACCGAGGGTCAAGGGTTTGACTCAATGGTGTTTCCCAAAGGAGGAGTGAAGGGCCAAGGCCCAAGGAGGAAGGAAGGAGGTTGGGAGTGGGGAATGGCTAGCTGACTGAATAGAAAGGAAGCAGCAGCCCAAATAGGAATGAGGGAGAATAGCGGAATTGAATAGGACAATGCTTAAATGGAATGAGCTAACCAATACAATGGGTATAAGTGGAGGTGGGGTCAATGTTATGGAAATGGGAATTTCCCATTTTAGACTCTTATGGGTTCTGTGTCACATGATTTGTATAGTAATTGAGTTGAACCAATCAATAATCAACAAAAACCCGCTGCCACACTACCTGTTCAACTACATGTTAAACCATCTGTGAAACAACCTGTAAACCCTTATGTCCAACCCCCTTCCCTATTCCTGCGCCAGAACGGACGAAAATGGGCGCCTCCAGCCCCATTTTTGTAACAGTCAAAGTCCGAGGTCGGAGCTAAGACCAGAGGTTCCGGAGTCGGGAGCATACATAGGTGTTGCATGCTTGTCTGGAAGGTGTTGAGGTTGAGGTTGGACCTGGGATGTTCTGGAGTCGGACCGAAGGTGGTGTCAGAGCCGGAGGTGGGATAACCTCTTGGAAGTCAGCAAGGAGAAGGTGATGGAAGGGAAGTAGGGCTCCGGAGTCAGTTTTGGAGTTCCAGGAGCCCAGAGTGGAGGTCGGGATTGTATGGATATGACAGCAGCAGTCCATGCCCCTCATTCCCCTCCTGAAAGGTGAGGTCCAGCTTCCATTTTCCAATTGGTTTCTTGGCATTGGGGTTGGGCAAAATGGTCGTCAGGGCCAGGGCACCTGTCTGTGCAGTAGGTTCTACTGCCATTGGCTCCATTCTTGGTACTGACATCGCGATCACCTTGATTGGCATTGTTGCTACTTGGGTAAACATTGTTGGTGGCTGGCCTTTGCTACAGGGATTGTTGCCACTGGTGGCACCGTCACTCTCACTGGCATTGTTGTTGCTCCAATGGCTGCCACTGGGGTTGCTACCACTGGGGCAGCTGTTGTTATTGGTGTGATCGCTTCAGGGCCAGGTGTTCCCTGGTTATAAGGTGGTGAGTCTCAATTTTGTCAACATTGCACTCAATTCACTTACATGTGCAGCATGATGATCAAGGATTGACACAAGAAGCTTGATGCGTATCATCACCATATCATTGCTGGTGCCAAGGGAGTATTGGGATGGAATGAAATGGTGCATCAGTGCATTGAGTGCAAAGATGCTGCATGAGGAGAAGTCCTTCTGGTAAGCAATTGGCAGCCTCACAATCTGGAATGGAGAGACTGATTGATTTGAACTCAAATACAATGCATTGAGCCACCACTGAAGAGTAGCGGCTGCCTCCTTGACTCTGCCAGGTGGCCCATTGTTCCCCATTGATGTCAGGGCACATACCCTGACTTAGCCTGGACCCGGACCCGCGTCCGGACCCGCTCCACTTCCCACGCACTTCCTGTGCCGCATGATCCGACCCCGGATCCCACCTCATGTGACTTCCGGGTATCCCCAGAAGTTTTCGCCATATTGGGGCCACTGTGGGAAAGTGAGAAGTTAACCTTCTTCTCACTTTCTTACCCACAGTAGTGTTATGCCCTGAGATGGGCTGCTGTTACAGGTTAGCCTGTGGGCCATAGAGAGGGGTCATGGGGACCCAGGGTCCGTCCCCTGACAATTGACCAGTGTAAGGAATCAGCGATGAAGATGGTCAATTCCCTAGAGGAGATGACAAATGTGATCCAGTGGTTGTTAATGTGAGTAATTCCACCAAATTGAGAAATGGATCCAGATGAAAGCTCAGAGCCAAATTGGTGGAGAGTTGTGCAGGTACGGTCATGGCGATATCTTTTCAACCCATTCCCATCTGGTTGCATGGCACACCCTGTCAGGTACTGGATGTCAAGAGGGCTGAAAAGTCTAGCCTTTACATCATTGGCATCCAAGGCCCTTTCCAGAAGTTGGATATGGTACAAGATATTGGTGGTCACAAGGCATGAGAAGGTGAGGTGATGGAGCAGTCCCCCAATGGAACTCGATGTTGATTTTGAAAATCCAAGGACTCTAGCATTCCAGCTGCATGATAAGAGCCGCTTTTGGGTGGTGATGACAGCAACATGGTGAGTAGGCTGACAACCCGCCAATGCCTCAACATGTGCCTCTGATTCTTTCCACATTTTTCGGATACTTTGTATCTGAAATAGGACTTCCCAGATTCGTAGAATGTTGATAGGGACATAATGTGTGCCAATTTTAACAGAGCAAGGAGGGTTGGGATCATTGGGATTATAGTTATAAATTAGACTTTTGATTACTGGGTGGGGAGGGCAGAGCATGCTACAGAGGTCACTCTCTGTCAATTCTCGGGTGGATGGTGGGCAATGACTGAGACATGCTGTCAGAGACCAGGTTGAGATGAGGGAATGTCTCCATGGCAGAGGGCTTCGGCCTCAGCGACTTATGCCAGGAGCGCTGTGCCAAGTAACATGTCCATGCCCTAACTTACTAAACTGGCAACCAGAACTGAAGGGGGTAAACTCTAGTCGATTTTATTACTGAGGTGTAACCTATGTACAAGTTGAGTATATATATAGTTACAATGAGGGTGGGCCCGCAAATGGCAGAGCCGAGCTGAGCGGAGCTAACGGGGTTAGACATTAGCCGATTGAATATTACCAACAAGTTGGGTTACGGGGTTAACGGAATGGTAGGTGATAACCCAGAAACGGAAAGGAAGGATAGGCCCGAAGGTGGGCTTGCAGGGCAAGTGAGTGTATTGCCCAGCGGAGGTGGGAGTGCGCTAGCAGACGTCAGAGCTGTCCGGAAGCCTTTGGGGCTCCATACTTAGGGAGGCGTAGGTAATAAATTGAAAGGAGGGGGTGGTGACCATCGAGGGTACTGAGGTGATTGCGGAATACAGGAGCTCCGAGGTTAGTGAAGAAGGAGCGGAGGTAGACCAGAGGGATCGGAGGGAGTGGAAGTCGATGGCCAGGGATGGATATGACACATGCAGATATTATCTGTAAATTTCCCTGGAGTGATGGGGGCTTAAATTTGAGAAAGTCGGTGACTGACAGGGTTTCATTCTGGAAATAGGGTCCAATAAGAGTGCTTGGGATACTGTTAGAGACCGGATCGAGATGAAGGAGTCATCTCTGTGGCAGAGGGCTTCGGCCTCAGTAACTCAGACCAGGAGCGCTGTGCCAAGTTACATGTCCATGCCCTAATTTACTTACTGGCAACGAGAACTAAAGATGGCAGGGCCAAGCAGAGCGGAGCTAACGGAGTTAAACATTAGCCAACTGAATATTACTGACAAGTCGGGTTACGGGGTTAGCAGAATGGCAGGTGATAACCCAGAAACGGATAGGAGGGATAGGCCTGAAGGTGGGCTTGCAGGGCAAGCAAGTGAATTGCCCAGCGGCACCACCTCCACCATCCTCTGCTCGCCAGACCAAGGTCCATGAGCCTGAACAGTTCGATGGAAAAGATCCCCGAGAACTCCGAGTATTTCTGGTCCAATGCGAACTGAATTTCCAGGACCGACCCCTTGCTTTTGCTAGCGACCGTGCCAAGGTCATCTTCGTGCAGTCCTACCTCAAGGGAATGGCCCTTGATTGGTTCAAGCCGGATCTATTATTCGATGAAAATTCTACACTCTGTCTGCAATGGATGAATAACTATCAAGAGTTCGTCAACAAACTTCAAACAAACTTCGGTCCTCACAATCCTGTGGGCGACGCCGAAGTTCAACTAATGACCCTGGACATGAAGGATGGGCACCACATCAATAAGTATGTTGTTGAGTTCAATTGACACGCTTCTCAACTTCATGGTTACGGGGAAGCCGCGCTCCGTCATTTTTTCTATAACAGATTGCCGGAATGTATCAAGGACGATATTGCCAGAGTAGGTAAACCTTCTACTCTTTCGGAACTCCGCACCTTGTCACAAACTTTCGATGCACATTATTGGGAGTGTAAATCTGAAGTGACATGGCACACAAAACCCTCCTCCTCTAACGTTTTCAACAAGTCCACTGCCACTTCTCATTCCGACCCCATTCCTTCCTCCTCCTCGTTCAACTCCGCTTCCGGTAGCAAGCCTCCGAAGGACAGCAAGAAGTCCGAGGCCAGCTCCGCTAAGCCGGACCTTTCATCAAAACTCAGAGACAATGGCAAGCTCACGCCACAAGAGTGTAAGCATCGTCTCAACGAGAAACTTTGTATGTTCTGCGGTCAGTCTGGCCACATGGTCAAGGACTGTCCCAAGTCTTCTCCTTGTCATATCCATCCCCAGCCATCGACTTCCGATCCCTCTGATTCCTCCAGTCTACTTCCACTCCTTCCTCACTAACCTCGGAGCTCCCATATTCCGCAGTCCCCTCGGTACCCCTTGATGGTCACCACCCACTCCTTTCAATTTATTACCTACGCCTCCTGTCAGGGCAACCACACCTGACCATACAACCCCAGAACCACCTTCCCTAACCTCCCCCCACTTCCCTCATCCTCCCATCTTTCGCAACTACAGCCCGCATGCGAACCCGTGGGAAAAATCACGTGGGTCAAGGCGAGCAACTCGCCTTAACCCATGTGACACCTTTTCCGCATCGCGGGAACATGCTCGGCTTCTACCCATAATCACGCTACGAACTGTACAGTACATTTCCTTTTATAGCAGCCAAGCGGGGAATAGGGAAACTTACCCTTCTTCTCAACTCAATCCCCGCTTAGGCAAGTTGTAGCTACCTTCCATAATACATGACAACTCAATCCCCGCTTAGTGAGTTTGAGGAGCTTGGGATAGGATCCAGCACCTGGCTGCCTGGGACACCGCAAGTGTCCAGCTTTGAGGTAGGGCCGCCCCCGGACGGAGGCCGGGCCCTGACACCTCCCTAAGTACAGAGCCCCGAAGGCTTCTGGACAGCTCCGACGTCCACTAGCGCACTCCTGCCTCCGCTGGACAATACACTCGCTTGCCCTGCAAAGCCCACCTTTGGGCCTATCCCTCCTTTCTGTTTCTGGGTTATTGCCTGCCCTTCCGCTAACCCTGTAACCCGACTCGTCGGTAATATTCAATCAGCTAATGTCTAAACCCCATTAGCTCCACTCTGCTCGGCTCCACCATTTGCAGACCCACCCTCACTGTAACTATATATACTTAACTTGTACATAGGTTACACTCCAGTAATAAAATCGACTAGAGTTTACCCTCTTCAGTTCTGGTGGCCAGTTAGTAAGTTAGGGCATGGACGTGTTTACTAGGCACAGCGCTCCTGGCATAAGTTGCTGAGGCCGAAGCCCTCCATCATGGAGACACTCCTTCGTCTCGACCCGGTCTCTGACACTTCTCACACATCTAAGGCCCATACAGCCCAGACCGAGGAGCAAGGATCCGCTTCCGCAGAAGCAAAAAATTAGTCCGCACCCCTGTGGACTCCACACAGACCAGGGGTTGCGATTCTTCCCTCTGTGCGCTCAAAGAAGTGCATTTCAACACATCTTCCATCTCCGACTTATCCTCCCTCCATATTCCCATTTCTTTTTCTCTTTCAAATGGTCTATTTTCTCCTCTCAATGTTGACCCTCTGGTTGATGTTCTACCCGTTGTAGATAGTGTTGCTGATGTACCACTCTCTCCTCCCCCTCCTCCTACTTCTGTAGATCGTTCCACCTCTCTCCGTTTCTCTTCTTTCTCTTCTCCTGTCTCTTCTTCTTCTCCGTCCGATGATAGGACAAAAAATAAACTCTTCCACACCTATGAGAACATACCCGCACTCATAGACTCTGGGTCTTCAGACTGCTTCATCAACAACACATTTGTAAAGATGTTGGCCTTGAAGACATATCAGATTAAACCCCTACAACTATGCCTATTTGATGGTAGCACCAACTCAATCATAACCTGTGCCGTTGATATTCCTCTCCACTTCGCTTCTGGAAACATCACCCCCATGACTTTCTTTGTCACATCGCTGGATGGATCATGTTCCCTAGTCCTAGGACACAACTGGCTTACCTGCTACAATCCGTTCATTGACTGGGTCTCAAGCAGTATTACGTTCCGAACTTCCGAACCTACCAAGACAGCTACTCCAAGCTCTCCCCCGTCATCTCCGGTACCACTGCTGTTGTCTGACATCCAACCATCTGATGTTCTGCCAGCACCTCAGCCCCAGGCTCCCATTCCTCTGCTACCATCTATCGAGTTCGTCAGCTGTTCTGCATTCACGAAGGCTTGTCTACTTGAAGGATCGGTATCCTTCAGCCTAACCATCCCTTCTGAGGAAAGCCGCTTGAGGGCTGCCTCATCCCACACCGACTCTGTTGACCTCTCGGCCATTCCGATGGAGTACCACGAGTTCGTGGATGTGTTCAGTA